GCAGGATGATGTGTCCAATGAGCAAAAGCCACGGTCTATAAGGCAGGAAGGAAAGGGAGGGTTCCTCAAGAGCTTGGTGCTTTGTTTTGCCTTTATCTGCCTGCCTGGCCTGCGGGGGTGGGGTGGGGGAGGTGGGGCAGTTGTCTTTTTACACATACTGTTTCAGACCATAAAGGGTTTATATTTTGTAAATCTCACCTTCCTCCCCTGCATGAAAGGCCTAGTAAATCTTTGTAACTACCATAAAAGAGGAAACTGCCATTTTCCTTTAAATGCAGCGATTAGCACACAGTAGGTGAACTCAATAAATGTTATGTGGCACTGAATTTAAATCAAAATTTTCTTTTAAGGGTCCTAGGTTGAATGGGTCATAATTAAGTATTCACTACTAAGCCGAATGGAAATTCTAAATTCTAACAGACACACCTGAATTGGGATCCCACAAAACCATCTTGTTCTGTGATCACACATTCCTGTGGATTTTTAACTTCTTGGATTTGATACTGTCATCTGTAGAATGGGCGTTAACACGCGCGTGTGGATAAAAGGAGACATCACTCCACAGGCAGGTGCCTACCCCGAGTTTGGCGCCAAGAAGGACCTGAGGAAATGAGGGTTCCCTTTGCTTTCCCTCATGCCCCATAATGTCATGTGATATTCAGAATCTTGATTCAGGCAATTACTTAAGTAGTAATTGCTATTTGTATTTACATAACTGCTTTGATCCAGGAAGCTCAAAGGGCTTTACTAAATTCAGCATTTTAATAAATGTTTCATTTGCATTCTGTTATTCTGTTTACCCACACCAAAAACTTGGCATTTTCGAAAGCGTGGCAGCCAGTTCAGGAAAGCAGGCAGACACTCCTCCTTTGCAGGTCTCCCAGGCCTGACTTTTGCCTCTTTACCTGCTGAGGATTCCCTGCTTCTGGGGGGCGAGAGGCTTCAACGCACCTGCTTCCTCTTGAAGCACCCTCCAGCTTCCACCCACTGAACTTGATCCTGGGCCGCGCTCCTCTCATCAGCCCCCAGTAGAGGTATGTTTACTGAGGCAGTCAATTAGTACCAGAAACGCAACCATCGGCAGGAGACGGAGGCACCAGGGGTGGCGCCAGTCCCGCATTCTAACGATGCGACGGGTCCACGCTGCATGGGGGCAGGGTCTGCCCAAGCCTGGATCGGAGCGCTGGCACCCACCCCACCGATCACCCGGGATGCTCCTCTGCTCCTCCCACCGCGGGGCTGAGGGCTGACAACCACCTCTCCCCTGCCTAACCGGGAGGTGGGGTTTCCACTGGCAAATCTTTACCCAAGCGCTTGTTTCCTTCTCCGCACTCAAGGGTTTACCCTGAATGATTTAATTATCATTTTCCTTGTGTAAGACAAATTAAAGAGGAGAGTAGGAGTGTCGTGCCAAGCACATTATTTATCTCTTTAACAGACTGCAGCTCACCAAACCCCAGAGCTGCAGCGGCGGCAGCTCCAAGGAGCCGGGGAACGCGCAGGGCAGCAGAGCCGGCAGAGAGGAGGGGCGCGCCCGGAAACCTGCAAGCCAGGTGAGGCCGCAGGGCACTCCTGCAGCGCATGGCCCCAGCCGCTGGCAGCGCTGCCCGCATCGCACGGACTCACACGGACAGCTCAGCTAGCAGGATTCCTTTCATGAAAGAATCCTGAAAGCCCGCCGCTAACTCCAAGTCTGTGGGGCGGGAGGATTCCTTGGTGCGGCAAGGGCTGGCTCCCTCCTGTTCAGATCTGGCTGCATGGCAGCTGAGCAGGAAAAGGATTACCCAGAAATCAGGGCAGAGCCCGGAAGCACGCACCCGCTGCTGAGTGCAGGATCAAACTTCCCCAGGCCGGAACCCGGAACTCGAAGGACAACCGACCTCATTGCCCAGGTGGCAGCCTTCTTGTACAGGGCCACACTGGCGGCTTTTCTTCTAGCTCGCGTGTGTGTGTGTGTGTGTGTGTGTGTGTGTGTGTGTGTGTGTGTAACCATTCCACACTGCTTAAAGTGGATATCACACTTGTGATTTTTAAATTAACCATAATAAGGTAATGACACATAATATTCATTTGAAGTACCTATATATACACAGCTGGCTAGCTAATAATTGATTTTTTAATGATCAATTCCATAAACTTAAAACTTGCACATTTTTTTTAAACTTAAAGTGCTCATTTGTCTTTGTTAGCGCCATTCATTCAGTTCAAACGTGCTGACCAGAATTTTCCTTTAATCCAGCCATATCTAAGAACCCACCACATAATACAAACTGAGGGACTGGAGAGACGAACCAGCAGCCTGTAGCTTCACGCTCGCTTCCTCTCTGCCCGTACAACGTGAACACTCAACCTGCTCCTGCTTCCAGCTGACGCCCGACTACAATCTGAATTCTCTTGTGACCCACAGCAGGCACACCATGTGGCAAAGAGCGTAGGCAACTTGTGTCTACACACATAGGATCATGGGAAAAAAAAAAAATCAAACTTCGTCTCCTGGACTGAGACTTGTTTCTTAGGCCCATTCACTCCCAAATGCACCTGCCGACATGAAAGGGCCATTCTTCCCCCTGCCTGCCTCCCGGCTAATCTATCACCTGACTGCAGATACATAACCTTTTAGGAGGAAACTGAGCACGGAGCATCTAAACAGGGAGAGTTTTCTGTGTCACAGGCAATCTGGGCAGGCTCCACGCGGGCCGACAAGATTGCAACAAATACCTTAAGTGCATCAGTAGGCGATTTTCAGTGCACGGCCTCCTCTCTGCCTATGGATAAAGATGTAATTCAATCACTCCGCAGTAAATGGACAGCATCGACCCTAGGACATCAAAAGCAAGGGTAGCAAAGGATGGCAGCCTAGAACCTTTTCTTGAAAGCTAGCGAGTGGTTTTTTTGTTTGTTTGTTTTGGGAAAAAAATAATAAAAAGAAATCAAAACGATGCTGAAAGAGATATTAAAGAGCGAGCGGAGATCGGACCCAGGCATTTGCGTCTCTCCTCACCGAAAAGGCAGACGCCAAACTGCACCCCATCGCTCCAAAGACTCCTCTGTCCGCCACTCTATCCTTCACTCTCTTCTAAGCCAATCTGTGTAAAGCATCTTCAGTTCTTCCACGTCTGCCATGGAGACATCAGCTCCCAAGACAGCTGCACAGCCTCACAACCTTTCTGTCTGTCTGAGCGTGGTACATAAACACCTAGGGGATGTGTGTGTGCATACGCTCGCGTGCTGCCTATCGACGGGGGAATGTTCTAGATTAGTGCACCGATGCTGACCTAGGCAGGAAGTTCGGCACACACATCACACACTACTGTCCCTGGCACCATGATGAACCAAGCACACACCAAGTGAGGCACCCGGCAGGTGCGGCAGACACAAGACGGGTAGGGCTGTGCCAACATACATAACGTGGCACACTGTGTTACAGAAAGCTTTCAGAAAATCAGAAAGCAGCACGGCTTAAGACAATTATAACAAACACAATGCAGTCAGGACGTAAACCAGTACCAGCCGCTTGGCACCATGACCCATCCTCGGGCCTGTACCCAACTGCATACGCTGTGCTGTGAGCGGCAGTGTCCACGACCACACCACACGCTCCACACTCACACGTCAGCCACAACTTGCTCTACAATGTCGCAGTGACCACCACACCTGGCCTTGGATGACAGCAATTCTTTGGTTCCAGGACACTCCTCTGGGACCCTGCCCCCCAGCACATGTGGGCCAGCGTGGACTGAAACACCGCATGGCACCCACCCGCATGGCACATGTGGGGTGTTCCAAAGGCTCATGGTCCATGGACATGGCCTTGGGAAGCTGTTTTCCACGAACTGTTTGAAACTCCCCTGTGTGTTCAGGTAGTTTTCTTAACATTTATTTATTTCCAAGGCAGAGTTACAGAAGGGGAGGGGGGGGAATATGTTAATCTTCTGGTAGAAGACACCTGCCTTAACCAACAAGCTTAGTATTTTGAGGAATGTATAAAATCGTATTTGCAATTGCTCAACTGAAACATATAATTACAACTTCTTCACTGAGTCACTTTTACTTAAAAATGAGAGAATTCCCCTTTTTCTGATGGAAATGGCGTCTACTGCCATATACAACCCTTGAGGTTTCTTTTCTCCTGTGTGTGGCAGCTCTGCACGTTAAACACAGAAGCAATGGTGTAAAAATAGTAAACTAGGGAGACTCTCACTTTTAGGAGCATTAAATATTCTACTTTTGCAAGCGCCCCAGCAGCAGCAGTAGTAACGTCCTGGGTGCTATACCACAACACGAACAAACAGCCCTATTTTCTTACAACAGCAGGCCAATGTGACGGATTCCAGCCCTGCAAGAGAACTTGAGCTTCGGCTAACGTGGGTGACGCTCCGGACAAGCAGCAAATATCAAGTCTCAACTTCCAACCAAAAAATACAGCTGCCGAGACAACGCTGTGGCATGCTGACTTGGTGTGTGCCGCAGGCTTGTGTGCGCACGGACAATAGGGCCCTGCATCTCTCCAGCCTTGGCACCTTCACCCAGTGTCTACACACACAGGGTCGCACTCCAGGTGGACACAGTGATGGACAACGTTGGATTCCCTGCCTCTACCGGGGACCACGTGGGGTAAGGCCAGTTGTAGGTTTTCTCTAACAAGCAAAACTGCTTCTCCCCAACCCCCAGGACTCACTGCTGTTCCCTTACAAAGTTTGAGGGCCAAGGCATTGGGCTGAAAGAGAAGGCCTTGAGATCCAACTCATCCGATGAAGAGTGACTCCTGCCTGCGGTTCCAAAGTGGGGGCGCTGACCTACGTCAGTACAGATTCCACATAGAAAAGGTGAAAATAATTAGATGCTGCACACCCAAATCAAACCGAACACATTCTTAAGTGATTACACGCACATGCCAGTTACATGGATACAAGCAGGGATGACGGAGCAGGGGCTCGCCGAGGCCGCCCACTCCTGCCCTGTGTTGATGCTGTGGACACCTGAGAGAGGCCGGGGCCTACCTTTCCCTTTTGGGAGTGTGGACCGAGAGCTGTCCATTGGTAGAGGCATGCGGGTTCATGATTAAGGAGGTGTTGGAAGGCTTAGAAGAAGAGACGCAGCTCGTGGTCAGATCGAGACTGCTGTGATTGGCGCCCGGGGTCTCCTCGGCCGTGTGAGCACTTGTCACTTCTTTCCAGAGCTGCTGCAGTTCCGTTGGAATCATGCCTGAAACAAACAAATTGGATAATTAAATCAATTAACAGCTAATTCCGTCCTCTTCAAACAGTAATTAAATCAAAGAGTCAGTAAACAAAGCCTAGTGTTCAGAGGGTTTTTTTTTTTTTTTTTGGTGTGTAGAGGGTTTTTTTTTTCCCCCCTTTTTTCTCCCTCCCCTCCCGACCAAGGCACACAGGCCTCCTGTTGAGCAGCTGGGCTGAAGTGTCCTCAACACACACAGAAGACGCTCGTGCAAAGGAGCCCAGAGCAGTCGGCTCTGCCACCATGGCCCATCCCAACTGTGCACTCTGGGGAACAAGGTGATGGTGGCACCTTACTTGCAGACACAGAGGGGGCTCAAAATAAATTTGTCCGACTGTACTATTATGACAACATGAACCACAAAATGAATCATTTTTGTACTTAAGCCGTAAATGATGACAAATAGCTTTGTTATTAAATACAGTTTTTATTAATCACTTTTAGACATAAATTATGAATTCATATCGTCTTCCTGAAATGCTTTTCAACTTTTAACAGTCAAATTGATTATACTATGATTATTTCATTAACACACCTATCTTCCTCATTAATTTTGGTTTCTAGTACCACATGCTTAATTGATGGATGTGTCTACTGAAAAACTGCGTAACTTTTTATACAAGTAACACTGTTATTACTGTCACTTCTTAGATCAGTGCTAATGAACCATCGCAGAATAAAAGCAAAACGTGGAATAAACTGGGAGCCATAAAGTTCTATGGCTTTTTTTTTAAGGAGTTCAACATGGGCATGGGTTTTAAGGAGGAACTGCCAGCCAGTAGCCTTCTCCGGAAAGGTAAAAATCAGCTTGTCAGTTGAACTCTCGGCAGGTTCAACTGCCTTCACCCCGGAAACCGGGTCTTGGCTTTGCCAGTCCAGGACATATTCTGGCTCCTGCAGGCACAGGAGAGCGACGGCCTAGGCGGCAACCTACGACATCAAGGCGGGCCACACGGAGCAGCAGCTTCCTCTGCAGGAGCAGTGACGAGGCGTCAGAGAGCCTGCACGCCAGGAGCAGCCCCACGCCCCAAGTGGACGGCTGGGTGGCACTCATTGTTTCCGCCAACTGTGACACGGCCAGCCCTGAACGCCTGCCATTTGCTGAGTAGACGCAGCGGCCGAAACAGGCTTGTTTCTTACCAAACCCAAGGTATTGAATTTAAAAAGGAGGCCGTGTGCATTATATTCATTTGAAACACATAATAAAAAATGCCAAGGTCTAAATTTAATTTATTTTTGTCATTTAGAATACAATGGACAGATAATCATCTCAACGTGATCAGCCAAACATCTTTACTTTGCTAAACTGTTAAAGATTTTAATTATGCTAGCATTGGAGAGCACTGGTCTAATGAGGCGATGGACTCCAGAGAATCCGAGTGGTTAAGAACTGTGAAATGAGTCTGATAGGATTTTTTTATATTCACCGTGGATCGTTTGCATATCAAAGAGGAGTAAATTATTGCACAGCGGACCAATAACCTTCCCCGCCTCTCTGAGAGGAGCCGTAACAAAAACAGTTGGTCTCTCGTAACAGTTCTCCACGAAAATGTTCAAATGTTCAAGTCTTTGCAATTAATATATATTATAAAGGAGGCTTCAAATAGTGCATTAAGTGGTCAGATATTCTGAGGACACAGCCTCGACAGCTAAGTCGGTTTTCTCCTCCCTTTAGAAACAAAAAAAACCCCAAATGCCAATTATATTTTGATGGATTTTGTCCCAAATGAGCATTTAGTTATTAGGCATATTCAATTATTAGTTGTCCCCTGAAAGTAAGCCTCGGAGGCGAGTTAAACAAAGGGAGAGGTCACTACACAACCCCAAGTCCGGTTCTGCCGCATCTGGACTCTCTGAGTGACAGGTGGGCCAGGCCTGTGGCTTGCGAGCTTGCTCAGCACACCCACAGTTACCTGTGACCATGGCAGGGGCCCACAGACCGGCGTCTTCCCCGACTGAACGAATGGCAAATGGGCTTGGCTGGCAAGGACAGCACGTGGACCCTGACCCAGACAAGCCAGCACCTGCTTCTGCTTTTGCTTTAGTATGCAGTCAACACACAAAAAGAAAAAAGGTGCCTAATTTTCCATTTACACGAGTGGATTTCCAGGTCAGCTGCTGGGAGAGACCCTGGTTCTAAAAACCACGCGGACACCTTAACTCAGAAAAACACACAGCAACTGGGAACTGTTTCATAGGTAAGCTGTTTATGCTGCAAACACAAAGAGAATTGTATGAACACTTGTTACACCTCCAGAGTATATTCATGGTACTCGTGTCTCCCTGTATGCCAAGGGGCTGGCATACCAGTCCCACTGCCAACAGAGAAAAAATGGTAACTAGCACAGGAACTCAATGGGTGACAAAGGCAGTCCTTTTCCAGGGTCAAGCTTTTACATGCTCATTGAATTTCAGAATATTCTCACCACACTAAACCCTAGAAGCTGTCAAATCATTCCTTCGCATCAAGGCTACGCCTTGCTGGTGACGTTCACCTGTTAGTTCACCAAGACAGTTAAAAAGGCCAGGCTGTCATCCCCCTAAATGGCTATCACATTTCCAGTAGGCATGCACTTCTTCCAAAATGGAAGAGCCAGAATAATGGTCCCAAGTTCAACAAATCCATGAACAGGCGCATTACCGGGCATGTAATTTTCTCCCACCTGGAGTTTACTTTTGAAAAAAACTAAAAAGTCAGGATGAAACTGAGAGAATCTCTGTACGAGATTAAGAGCGCTAGAAAGGATCACGTGCTTAAAGGAACCAGGGTGAAAAGGATGTGCTAATTACGGAAGACAGAGGAGGCCACCAGAAAGCAGTCCTCCACGGGACGGTACAAACCCCCAGGACTGCAAACAAGGACTTCAAATGACCACCCTGCACCTGCGCCCACTGGTCGACACGGACATCCATAGTTAAGGTGGCTTGGCGAGGCCACGGGCAGGTAGGTATAACACTCCTGATGCTTTAATTACGGAGAGGGCATTCCTGGCCCTCTTCACACAGAGCTCCTCTCCTGCCACAGCTCCTTTTCCAGGACAACTGGCTCCTTCATTAAAAAAAGAAAATGCAGGCGCAGGTTTAAAAAATGTATGTTGTGGGGACAGTTGACAGATTACTGTTCATGGAACTCAATTTTGCAACCCCAGGTATCACTGGCTCAAAGACAAACAGAGTTGATCAACCTTTTTTTGTCCTTGTACATCCATACCCAGGTGACCATGTTCAAGCAAGCAGAAAGTTGATTTAAACCTCATAATGACATCAGTTTTAAGCCATCATCTCTCTGATAAAAAAGAATTGTGTTGTAGTCCAACATGACTGAATTCTCAAGCCACTTGGGGGGAGAGGCTGCGGGGGAGGGGAGCGGCAGCCAGCCTCCCGATCCTCAGGAGAAGGCAGTGAGGCTGCTCATTCAGAAATGGTGATATTTACATGGGAACCACCTTGGGCCTACCTCTGGACATTCTTTGAGATTGCAAATCGGCTTCCTGCTAACGTTGCGGGGGCCTGTAGTTAGAGCCGGCTGCTAAGCATATCAATCAATGCCACGACCAGTGAATTACCTACTGGTGTCTCTGATATGTTACTGCAGAGATTACACTTCATGCATCACCACATTCATTTCTTTCACATTACACATGAGCTTGTCTTGTCACTGCCCAATTGCCCTCTTTTGGACAGCTTAACTGATGTACTGTAACAATGAACCTTAGTGAGCAAACTTAATAGTAGAGGAGCGGTGGGAAAAGATGAGAGAGGCCGAAGCTTGAGTCCAGCAGGTGTGGCCGCACAGCCGCCACGTTCCCAACAATAAACTCCAAGGTATAATTAACATTTTGCAACGTCAAAAACACATTAGTCGATGCGTCTTTTCTTTAACCTCTTGCACTTCTGTTACCAAAACTTCTGTTTTGACGGCAATGGACGATACACTGGCGCTAGGCACTGGTGCACCCAGAGCAGAAAGAGGCTGGGCACAAGACAGAGAGTCAAAGAGGAAAAAAAACCTAGTCTCAACATCAACACACACAACATTAAAAACAAAACAAAAACCCTCAAGGGCCAGACGCTGGGTGTGGCTGACTAGGGAAAGCACATTCAAAGGCAGACGTGCACGGCTCACTGGCTCCACTCGACAGACACTAAACCAGTGACCGTGATCTGAAAACACAAAGGAGGCTCGACCAGCACACCTCCTTGAGAAGACAACTGCCCCCAGACACCAATGGTCTGGGGCACCAGCCTGTGGGGGGCACACACACACGCCCGAACACACCAAGGCCGAAGGAGGGGGAGGCAGGGGCACACGCAGAGTTGGGGCCATGACTTCCCCAAACCCAACACAGCATCTCCTTCCCACCTACGAGTAAGCCATTGGTCTTTAAACATGTGAAAATCAGGGTTGCTTCCACTGAGAGAATGCCCTACAGCATCCAGTGCCTCACTGTATCCTGCTATCAGTGCCTTCTCCAAAGCCAGGTACCGCATCTTGGTACTTTTCCAGGAACTCCAGTTTGGGAGAACAAATGAGACATGGAAAGGGTAGGGTACCTAACCTTGTCAGGATATAACTCACTCAATGATTAACAATCAGAAGGTGAAATCAACAAAGAGAACGGAAACCCAGACAACAAACAACTTGGCTTTCCAGCAGATTCTGGGCATTTGTAGAACGGTCAACTTGTACTTATCCCTAGACAATAAAAGAACGGCATCCATTAGGTATCACTAAGACCTACGACTGAACAAGTTATATGATAGAAAATACAGTTTTAAAACGATCAACAATGGTCTTCCAAAAAAATACCTCTGCGGTTCCAAAGTGTAATGTCAGAAGATTCTATTACACTGCGAAGTACAAAGCCGCATCTCACCCCTTTCCTGAAAGATGGAGTAGCCAGTGTTAGGCCATCTGATCACTCAGGGTCTTCACTGTAGCATCAGCAGATGCTTCAACTTCTACAGGAGTCCAGTACTCATTCACTGGAGTGTTTCTGTTGAGTTTCTAGCCACGTCTGAGATGGACCATTTCCAAGAGCCCCTTTCCCGCCTCCGCAGCGCTGTGCCTTTTGGGTAACAAATGCTTACCTTGAGCAAGAGGCTGGAGGGGAAGGGTGGGCTGCCCAGGCTGAATTGTCAGAAGGCCTTGGCGCTGCAAAGACAGGAGGTGCTGCTGCTGTAACTGCTGCATCTGCAAAAGCTGCTGCTGGAAAGCCAACTGCTGGGTAGCCACCTGCTGCTGCTGTAAGAGATCAGGAGGGGAACGAATGAGATGACCACTTCCCAAGGACGGCTCTGGACAACTGCACCCTCATCACCGCGGGCGCATACTGAGAATGGGCACAAGTGCAGGAGTGAGGAGCGAGTTCTTTCCTCCCCTTCCCTGCTCACACAGGCAAATAACCGCCAGTCCACCCGGCTTCCTTGGTGGTTGGAATAACCCGCCAGTCCACCCGGCTTCCTCAGCGGTTGGAATAACCCGCCAGTCCACCCGGCTTCCTCGGCGGTTAGAAAGCCCGAGTTCTGTGCTCAGGCATGAACTTCTGCACTGGCAGATTTTTTTTTCCCCCCTTTTTCCTCATTCACACCGGCAGGAAGACGGGACTGCTCTGGTCTGCAGGGATTTGAACCCTGAACCTCTGAGGTGTAAAAGAATAAGCCGCCTTCCCTCCCAGCCAGCACTGGCGGCAGCAGCTTTTAACTACTCTGTTTATCACTTGTGACATAAATAAATGAGAAAAAATCAGACCTTTGAAGAAGAAAAACTTCATCTAATATTGTTAATTAGCCATGACAAACGATGAAATAACATTGTAAATCTTTCATAGAAACAGCCACTAGATTTTAATTACACACATTCATAATTTAGCAAACAACATCGTCCTCAACTGCGAGTGTTTAATACGAACAGCACTCCAAGGCCTGAACTTGGCTTTAGCCTCAGAAATCCCTGGGCCAGGCCCTGCCTCCCCCGCCCGCTTTGTTCTTGAAAAGAAGGGGGCTGATGGCATGATAAATATCTTTGTGTTGACTGGACAATGACAGGAGGAAAACTTTTGTTGTGTAAACCATCAATACATCATTCCTGTGTTTAGCAGGCCCTGCTGCAGCCAAAAAAAATTAATGTAGATTTCCTCAGTAATTATCTGAGTGATAGAAAGATAATACAGTGCAGTAGTACAATAAATAGAAGGAAATTATCTAATATCCTTAATCTGCTAGGGCTCATATCGAGGTGGAGGTCTTAGCTACATCACGGCTAACAATTAGAAAGGAAAATTAACCCGTCCCACACCACAGCCAGAACGGGGAGGGGGGAATAAAGAAAATCCAAAAACACCAAAAAAGGCCAGAGATTCTCTTCGACAGAAGAACAAGATGAGCTTGCCTAACCGTGAGTGTTATTTAAAAGATTACAGAGCCTTCTGCAAGGAAAAGAGCTATGCAACCCCGAGAGCTGGTGTGTTCTGCTTAATAACTACACTTTACAAACAACTGCATTCACTTAACCCGACACCTGACCTTGATCTGATATAGCCATGAAATGGCATGTATATCAAGACCTTCCGATGCAAAGTTCAAAGAAAAGAGAAAAAAAATGGTGGTTTCCTTGCCGTCTCCGTTTAGTTTATTTTACAGTAAAAACCATCATTCTCATATTAGCAACCAATTTCAGACTTACCACCATGCCACTGAGAAAGTTAATTGAGTTTCACTCCAAAAAACAAATTCCATACCACTAACAACAAAAATTTAAATAAATTTAAATGAAAAGCCAGTGTTTTCATTTTAAGAACAGCATGCATAAAATGATCCAATTGTTTTCACCCCTTCCCAAGTTATCACATTAATGTAAAACCCAATGATAGTTATATTCATGTCAAAATGATTTTTTCACTTCTTCTACAGATATTAACTCACGACATTAAAAAAAAAAAGAGGAAGAGATAAAAAAAAAAAACAGCATTGACACAAAAGATGGTGGATTAGCTCTTGATGGTAGAGCAGAATGGGGGGGGGGGAGCGGGCAGGACCTAGCGGTTGGGGAGGGTGTTTCCTGTCTTACTGTAAGTGAAATGTTTAAAAAACTCTGTATTTATATAAAATGACTGATGCCTTTTCTGTTGTCTCTGTGGCCATCCCTAGGAAAAGCTCATGAAAGCTGTCCACGTTTGAAAAGCCAGGATATAAAAGTATACAAGGCCCATTGTCCAGAGAAAAGAATTTAAAAGCAACACTGGTTGCCAAACTGTGCTCCCCACCCAGTTACCAAACACAGGATACGAGTCCATTTGTTTACTTCTCACAATTGAATGCACACAAAAAAGGTCTCCCTGCAGTCCCCTGGACAGGGTCAGCAGCGAGTGCTCCAATGCTCAAACGCCCCGATAAACCCTGCGTTTCGGATCCCCTCCCTGGGGCTGCAAAGGCCTGTTTTGCTTTCCTCGGCTACTCCCTACTGCCTAACATAAACTGTCACAACTGCCTGGGACAAACGGGCCTTTTTTAAAGCAACAGCCCAGCCTACCTCACCCGCACAGGATGGGACCTTGTGGTTGTTCTGGTTTTTTTTTTTTTTTTTTTGGTACTCCATTTCAAATGAATTCTGCCTTCTCTTTTCCACACCAGTGCTGTCAAGCATTAACAAGAGTTGTTTCCCTGGCTCTGGGGGGGCTGTATCCTATTCACCCCCTCCCCGACCTTCAGCAGCGAGCATCAGTCTTTGAAGGAAGGTCTGAGGTCCAATCGAAGCTGGAGCCAAACTTTCCCGAGGAAATGTCTCAACACAGCCTCGGGGGAGAAAGCGAGTGCAGGGACACTGTTTTGGCTAATGCTCAAGAGCCTTAGAGAGCAGAGGAAATCAACCAAAAACTGGGGGTGGCGGGGGGGGGGCTGTTGGAGAGCAGAGGCCAAACCTGAGTGATAGAAAATTATGAGCCACTAATAACTTGGGATTCGGGAAAATTAATGTACCTGTTCTATCTGTCAACATCCAAGCTCAAACCTTGTTAAAATCATAACCACCAGTCCACACCATGAAACTGCCACCAAGGGACTATTTCATTTCAACACAAAAGGACCACCACCTGCAGGATGGCTTCAGGAGGGTCACTCCTCATCTCCAGGAAATCAGGATCTCCTAGCCGTGTACCACACAGGTCTCGGCCAAGTCCACTGACACCAGTAACGCCCAAGAAAACCCAAGGTGGCGTGACAGGGCCATGCCATGGCTCTGAGGCTATTCAAAGGCAAAGGACCTCTAGGATCACCTTTGCCTGCGAAACGGATGTCCAGGCAGGGACCAGCAGCATGTCCACAGCCTCGGAGACGCCAGGGTAGCCATCCGCCTCACCACTCCTGCACCAACTCCATGCTCCAAACCTCAGCCACCGCCTCATCTTTGTACACCAAGATGCTCCCCTCTCTGCCCACAGCAATTTGGGAGAGTTAACTTTTATCCTTCTCTCTGCTGTGTAACTTTCCCCTCCACATTTCTTTATGTGCCCTCTGAGCTCATCCGAACTTTCATGTTCTCCCAGCATGCGGACGTGCATTCCAAACTATGTCTAACAGACCAAATAAGAGGTTAATAAGAAGTGGCAACAGAAAGGAAAAGCACAGTCCCTGGTAACTGATAAGAATGACAGTGGCAGCCCTTTTTTGTTTGTCTTCAAATATAGAGTTAAAGATCTTTAAAAAACTAAATTTTGATGCCTTTGAAAAGAAAGAAGCACAAAATAACAACAGGGGGTTATTGCCTGCAAGCCACAGGGGAGAAACTCCATAATTCTTATTCTCCCTTTTGAAGGCTGTTAGAAATCTGATTCAAAAAAGCACCAGCAGAAGGGAAAACCTCTTGAGGCTGTAACCATTTCCTGTGATCATGCATAATGTGCTTCAAAAGTGGGTTTTTACCAATTCTGTTGATCAATTGCACCTCCTTCATATCCCTTCTTTTTTCTGCTGTGTTTACATCTGATGTGACTCAATGACAAGCACTGTCTGAGACTGTGAAACAAGCCTGTCATGTTGATTTATGGGCGCATCAAACCACAACTTGTCCAAACTGAAGCTCGCAGTTCATTAATTAGAGAGTTGTGACTTTGAAGTCAGCTTTCAGACTGTGGTTTTTAACATTTGGCTTAATTTATATGCTCTTGAATGTGGATCTCTAAGGAAAAAACTGAAATTCCCTTCTTGTCTTTGAACTTCTTTTGACCGCACAATAATCATTTCTTTGTCCGGAGTGATGCCTGCAATCCCAGAGTCATTAACGCGCATTGAACTGCCACTGATGAGTAAGCCCTGCTGAATTAGAAAAACAGCCAGCAAAACAAAGCTGAGAGCCTTCTGCACAGTGATATCTCACAATTACATGCCTTCCCTCCCTGTGCCATTTCCATTTTAATTACTGTTAGTCCTTTAGATTTACATTTTAGACACTTTTTAATCTGTTCCCTTTTTTATTATAGTACCCGGTAGCGCGCCACTGTACTTAAGGTTGTGTCAGCATTTTCATTAAAACACCTCCTCCCCTTCACCCCAAAACTGCCCCCTTCAGCCTGCAGGGGTTTCCATCCAGGCTGCTAAACAGGACTCCAGGGTGGAAACTTGGCAGGCTGTGGAAAACAGACCCAATCTGTGCCGAGGGAGGAGCGGGCAGAGGGGGGGGACGGCTGGGTCACTCCCAGTGCTGCAGCGAGCACCGCCCAGCAGCCAGGTCCGTGCCGGATAAGGACACCCCCGACAGTCACCAGGTAAGGCTCCGGCCAAAGGAATCCAAGGGGCCAAGTGCTTAGGGCCCTTGTCAAGAAACTGTTCAAGAGGCTGAAGGGGCGGGCTGCTCACGGGACTGTGAACCACGCACTCGCCAGGAGATTGTGCAAAGGGAAAGAATTTCACTCCAACGCGAAAACAGGAGGAGGGAAGTCACACGGGACGACTCGCGAGTGGGAAATAAGATGTCATGCCAGCGGCCTCGGGCACATGAGGGCTCCGGCCACTGACTGCGCCAGGTGCACCTGGGGCTGTTGGGAGGATGCAGAATTCCCAGAAGGGGCTTCTCACGGCGTCACCTCTCAGGGCCATGCGGCCTAACACAACGACTCAGAGACATCACCAAGTCGTATGTGCATCGCAGCTATTATAATACTCTTACATTACTAATTTGAGTTTTTGTTTGTTTGTTTTGCAGAAAAATAAAAATTTATCCCAGCTGCAGCCTTCTCTAACCTGAACTTGAACTATGGGATGCATGCCTTTGGCAGTTTTAATACGCATAACATGCGAGTAAAAGTTAAAAAATAGACCGAAAGGCTGAACCTTGGGCTCTCTCACTTGTCCAACCTCACCAGAGATGATTATTATTATTCCAGTGGAAAAGGCCGTCACCACACAGCCAAGCTTCCTGGAATGCATGGAAAGAAACTCAAGTATATACCCCAGTCACACTGTGCTGAAAGCACTCTGGTCCCCCAGCTCCGACCGACCTGGCTCTCAGCTCTACCAGGACAGTCTCTCTTTGCAGGAGAAGCCCCGAATGCCCTGTCCAGGAGCCTACCCCTGGTCCTTCACGCAGGCCCACGTGCCACGGTGTCATAAGGTATGTGGTGGCAAGCAGGCAGACTCCAGAAAAACCTCAGAGCAAACAGGACAGCAACTCTCCATCTCAAAGCTGAGAACCGAACAAGTCAGCTCCATGGTGCGATCGGTTGGGAGGGCCCGACAGTTTAGTCACTAGATGGTCCCATGGGATTTGTGGTCTCAAAGTAAGATACGTTTTGCCAGTACCTCTTTCGGCTGTTTCCCAGCATGTTGTTGTTGTAAAAGTTGAAGCTGCAACTGTTCCTGTTGTTTTTTATAAAACTCTTGAAGCTGCTGCTACAAAGGAAAGAGAAGATGGTAAGTAACAGGGGGCAGAGCCGCCAGCCACTGTCCCTTTTGGTGCCATACACAAACTGCGATTTGAAAAATAGCATCCTTTTTATCTGTGATGGCCTGACCTTTAGTTTCAAACTCGACAATAAATTCAGCACTCACCGACTATTCCTGGCATTATTGTTTGAAAAGTAATCTCAAAAATGAACTAATGAAAAACATACCGTTTTTCTACACAAACTCATTACCATCAGGCCCGGGATGACCTTGATGGCCCAGCAAAGCTGCAATGCCAACTTTCTGAGTGGCTCCTGAACGCGTGCTTGAACACATGGGTGGGCTTCTGTGGGAGTGCGCCAGGGCCCAAGGCACTCAGCGCCAGTGTCAGGAGCTTCCTGTGTAACCCACAAAAGCCAAGGGGGCAGCACTAGTAGCCGTCCTCCTGCATGGCATCTGGTGCAGGTGCCCATTGGCTCTGCAAACTGGGCGCTCATGGATGAGGACAGCTATATGCTCATTTCAGCATCCACAGACGTGGGTTGGGGGAGCAAAACTCAACCAGGCATCTTAAAATTAACCAACTCCAAAATGCTTATTTTTTTATATATATTTAATGTATATAAACTCAGGTGTGTGTGAGCACCTGAGTTGACATGGGGACCACAAGAGCTGTCCATATTGAAACGGGCTGCCACCCTACTCCTTGTCTTGCTTTGATTCACACCATTTGGAAGTCTTGGGGTTTACCAAATAAAGCAGTGCAAAGCCACCTAAGTCTGAAAGATCATCTTCCTACCAAGTCCTATCAGAGCCCTAAATTCTGGCCCCATTAGGGCCTTTCCAAGCCGAGACCCCCCCCCCCCACACCAGCAGTGTCTTCTCCCGGGAGGTGCCCACTCATGCAGCTCACTGCTCAGGACTCCCCACAGCCGGCACGGGAAGGGTGCAGGTGAGCGCCAGGGAGGGGGCGGGCGGTTACCTGCTGCAGCATGAGGGCCTGCTGCTGCTGGAGGAGGACCTGCAGCTGCTGGGGGCTCAGCACTTGTTGCTGGAGGATCTGCTGCATTTGCTGAGGAGTGATAACTTGCGGCGTCATCATAGCCACTGACGCGGGCACCTAGAATGGGAACAGGCGAAGGCAGGTGAACAGGAAGCCCAGGCAACCTCCAGAATCGCCCCCCCCACGCCACCAGGAAGTGAGGGATCCACCCGCACCAAGGTGTGCGTCCCTGCGGGATATGCTGACAGGTCCCAGGTATTTTACCCTAGACTTTGTTTTTCAAATGAAGAAAACCTTACAGCACCAGCATGGGTTGCAGGCCGTCTTACAAACAACCCTCCCGAGACAGGGTACAACCAGCCCCGTGTCTGAGGAAGAATGAGCATCAGGTGCCATCATCACAAGTGAACCCCCAAACTGAAGTGCGCGTCCCTCAGCTGTGCTGGGACCCACTTCCAAGACCAACAGCGACTCAAGGAGCGGTCCACAAACGAACGCAGTGCGGCCATGGTGCAGCCCCGGACGCGCCCTCTGAACTCACACACAGACCCCTCCTAGGATGCCTTTTGCCCTTCCCTATTCACTCAGCATACAGAGGTCTCAATTCTTTCATATTATGTGCGATACCATTAAAAGCCGCTTTCCATGACATTTCAGTGACAAACAGCTACAGTGATGAACTTGATAGCATTTCATATTTGCAACTGTTAACACGTTTCTACACGGGCATCTCCGCAAGGAACCTGCACACTGTATCTGAAAGGATGATGTCTTGTTCAGATAAAACACTGACATTAAAATGACAGGCTGTCTTGGCCAAGGTTACACAAATTGTATTCAAGCGGATACCTAATGACAATGCTATGAATTCTGCAAGCTTTCTAGAATGTAATTTAGCTATTCAAAATAATCACTGCACTTGTGTTTAATTTGCAGACTACATGAGAACCATTTTGTCAGTCCCCGTAATGCAAGACGACTATTTCATGAAAAATCACCCCCACCCTAAATAAGAAGGAAAGGAAAAAAAAAAACACAATGAAAGAAAAGACAAAACCTGTATGTCTTCTAAGAGTAATATTTAAGCATCTTACTTTTCTTTGGTTTCTAATCAAACATGTGACAGCAAGGAGCTCGGAGCAGTAAAGGATATACTTTGTTAAAAAAGGATCTGCTGTCATCTCATGTATTATAATAAAAGGTAATAACATGTTTTGCACTTTGCCTGCGTGCCACTTTAAAAAAAAAAATCCGGCAGACAATAGCTGATCAGAAGATAAAAGAATTAAAAAAAAAAATCTTTCAAGGGAGCAGTAAGCAAAAGGGAGAAATGCAGTATTAATTTTATGTAACATAATGTCTTAATATGCAGTTTATCTTGACTTTTTCACATGATTTGTCCTGTCATTTGCATAGCGAGCTCTCATTCCTAATTTCACAGTCATTATGCACTGATGTCCCGAGTTCTCAGCATCACTAATTTTGATGAACTAAAAATGGTTCCTGAAGGTCAGACTCCTGCACAGCGGATGCCTCCCACAGTTGTTGTGGGCATGTTTGGCTGGGTGGGGATGTGCAGGGCCGAGCCTCGTGTGTTCAGACAACACTTGCTGGGACATCTGAAAATGTTCATTAGCCCAACTCGGGAAGGTCATCCCGAATCCTTCCTACTGCGGTGTAGATGTAGATACTCTGTAATTTAAAACAGATGGGCATGTCTGAATATTTTTATATGCAAAAAGGGACAGATGTATATGAAGGGATAAATCATCCTTTTAAAAAGATAATTCGCAGCATGAAATAACACCAATGATTGGAACAGTGAACTTGCATTCAGTCTAGGGCAAACACCAAGAAGACATTATCAAAACATCTAACCATCTACAAATCCATCCTAATTAGTCTACTCTGTTCTCCACACAGAAGCAACTTTCTGAATTTTCAAATCTGCCTTGGGTGCCAATCACCATCTTCAGGGCTGCTGGAGCCAACAGATCACCAGCAAAATTACTCTCCCTTCACAGTTGCATCACCATGCAGGGAGGTTTGATTAAGCAAACAAGAGAACCATGTTGAAGGATTCTTTTTTTCCTCTGCGTTTCTTGGATGATATACAATATAAATATTCGTGAGCCAAATTTCTGAGGGTGATGAGCAGGAAAACAGAACAGGGCGATGTCAAACCTAAGCTGGTGATGGACACGAACCCTGCTGGGTTAGGACAGAGACCATCCTAGGGTCTCTGGGTTCGCCTTTCTAGAAGAGCTCCAGGAATGAACTTTTGGGGGTCCTGTATCTTGACTGGGGTTCCAAGCGCAAGTGGCATACCACTGTGAAAAGCCTTCCACACACCTAGGGGGAGTGTACTGTGCAGCATGCAGAGTAGACCTCAGCAAACTTCATTTCAAACATAAAATGTATGCACACGCTTGTCCTGAAGCAGAGACGACACGACCGGGTGGAGCTGCTAGACTGTGAGACACCATTGTTCCTCCATTGCCAAGGTGACAGGGGCCTCTCGCACAGGACTCACCTCCAGGTGAGGCTGACGCCCTGGCGGCCAGTCCCTGGCGGACACCTCCTTTTCCCATGGTTCCTTCTTCATTTTTCTGCACTGGTGCTACTGAGCAGGAAAATGAACTCAAGTCTCCTCTCCTCCTTCCCTTTGGACATTTTGACGGAGGGGCTGGTGAGTAATAAAGCGCTGCGGGCAGCAGGCATGGCCAGAGGAGGGGAAGCAAGGAGCCTGAGCAACCCTCCGAATAATCACAAGTGGCCTATTGTATCCTGATGGCCTTCACTTTGCTTTTACTATCTGAAACCACATTTTCACACCAGTTAGCTCTCTGGGCCTCCAAAGTGGGCTGGAGCTTAATTTATAAATGTAATAAAACCAAGATTTCCCCAAAGTTTCTGCTCCAATATGTCATGAAAAGGGTCTTTAGCAAACATATTCAAATGGACCAGAAACCTTGGTTGAGAAGAAGGAAAAAAAAAAAGAAAAAGAAAGAAAAAAAAGAAATCCAAACCCGAGCATAGTTTAAGGCTTTAAATAGTTAAGAATTATAGCCTATATATCCACTCCCTTAATTCCCAACGTCCAACTTTTTCATGTAGCTAGTCCCTACTAATACTGCGAATCAAAGGGCAGGCAGCACCGGCGAGAGGCTATTACAGCCCACACTTTATTACCCATTACTACTGAGGTCATTAGCGGCAAGAGTGATTGTAGCAGTCTTAACCTATTGATCACTGTAACTACTATCATTTAATCCTGTGTTGAATGTCTGGAAAGCAGCTAAAGGCACAAGAGAGAGTGCTTTAGCATCGAGAAATATGGCCAAAGCTTAGAAATTACACTTTGATTCATAAAATCTAGCCAGTGGTTTAAATCAATAGTATTTAAAACAGTCATGTGAGTTTTAACTACAGCCCTCTAATATTTATGGGTCCCTCTTTGAGAGTATTCAGTAAAAACGAAACTCCCCCCGCCATTCCAATCCCCTGTCATCCACCTTCCTTTCCTTGGGGGGTGGAAAAAAAAAAACACACTCGTTTCTGATGTTTTCTGTCCTATAGGGTCCACGCCTCCACTGGCAGTTGCAGTTCAGTCGCGATTCCTCTCTCCAAAGACAATTTAAATATAAGGCAAAACCCCCAAATTACATGCCCGATATGGTGACTACCTGAACTGTTTCAGTATATAGAAATGAGTATGTTTTATGAGTTAACAATGAATCATAGAAGGCAATTTACGAAGAACTAGAGTGATTCTGTCTAGCTGCCTTCAGGGATCAGAAATTCAAATTAAACTTCTGGCAGACATTTAAAGAATGCTAGCATACAAAACCGAACTGGAGGGAAAAAAAAAAAAACACATACAGTTAACACTCTTTAGCTGAGTTTCGAGAGGAAATAGTCAATTTAAAAAAAAAAAAAAAAACCCAGGGCTTGAGACACTGTTGACGGATAGCAGCTGGGTGTGGCCGGTCCCAGGTGTGCACAAACCTGCGGGAAGGGCAGGAAGGCAGCGGCGCTGAGCGCTGCTAGTACGGGCCTGCAGCGACCTCCTGGCAGCCAGCGGGGAGCCCGCGTCAGTGCCAGCAAGCGCTGCTCAGCGCCCAGACGCTGCGATTCAAACCCTGCCGGCTACACTGTCCCTTGCGTCGGAAACGACTCTCTGTCATCCCGCACCCCCTTGCAAGCTTTCGATCTTTCCACAGGCCTGAGGAGTTTCCCCCGGTATCCTCCAGGGGGAAGGTGAGGCGATGGGAGGGGCTCCGCTGAAAAGCAAACAAACAAACACAAACACTCAGAGAAACAATACTTACTTCTAATCTAGGAGACAATGGGAGGAATTGGGTGGGAGGGGAGATGCCACAATATAAACGTTGGAAATAACACGTTATCATTTTTTTTTTCTCTCTCTCTTTAGTTTATACTCAACTGCAAGTAAATACTGCCCAGTGTAAATACACAGAAATGGCTATCCCTGACTTCTTGTCATCGCTATAGGTACAAATAATGAAAAACGAGACAACTTTTAAACACTGCTTTAGTTTCATTAACCTCTCGCTTTACTTATTACTATTCAATTATTTGCAAGGTAATTCAGAAACTAGCTTTTACACCTCTGATCATTCCCCTCCTCCATGCTCCCCCCCCCCCCCAAAAAAAAAAAAAATAACAACAACAAAAAAAATCCTCCCCTGCCTTCTACACCTGAGGCTGTGTCCCCTAAGTGACCAGGTCAGACACAATCACCTGGCTCCTCACAAGACCAGAACAAAGTGAAAGAGGAGGCTTCAGGATGTCAACACAAAACCAGAGAGAAAACGATTCCTTAAAAAAAATGCTCAATTTTATGTGGCCATCGACAAACTAGCCTAGGTTAAAAAAAAAAAAAAATCAAACTCCATTACCACCTTCCCCTGTGAAAAACAAAAGCCTTCATACCTTCTCAGCCAGTACTAGAGAGGGACCAGCTGACCAGTTAGGAAGCGGCCCTGGGGTGCTTAACACAACAACAAACTAACCAGGCCCCACGCAAGGCAGCTGTGTCATAAGGCGAAGGACACAGACTTCTGACATAATATTTCACTCTTAAAAATATAAAA